TAATACATGAAATACATATGTGAATAAAATAATAAAGTATGCTAGGCAAGGCCCAGCTGGTTAAACACAAAAAAAAATAAATAATAATTTAAAAAAAATTATTAAAATTTAATAAGTTTGCATTTAATATTTATTTACAATATATAATAATAAACTTTTTTTGAATGCAATCCTTTAAATAAATATACTTTTAAATTTCTTTAAATGCATAAGGCATATTCAATTCAAAATTTATATAAATCATAAAAATTGCTTTCTATAAATGTATAATTCTTAATTTCATTTTTATTAAAATTCTCTATTGCCCTGGTAATATGCAATTAAAGAAAGTTCACTGTATATAACTTAAAACAAAACTAAAACATTTTAATTTAATACATAAAAATAATTTTAATGCATAAATTATAATTTATTTTATTTTTGATATAAATCCAATTACGTTTTTAGAAAGCAAATAATCAAGCTTGAACCGAATAAATCTGAAATAAGATTTAAGTATTTAATTAAAATTTTAATTTGATACTCAGGAGGGCTTGATCTTGTGTTAAGTCAGCCAGCCGAAATTCGTTTCACTTATGATTTATAGTTGATTATTTCAAGTTATAAAAGAAGAAACAAAATGTCACAATTATTTTAAAATTTTTGACTTTTCCTTTGGTAGTTAATATATTCTTTAGAACCTATCAAATTCAAAAAATACCAACATAAATATTAAATAGTAGACTATGTTATTCAAATCAATAAAGGAATTGATCCGAAAAAAAAGAAACTGGGACCGCATGAGAAATAGTAGTTTGGGAATATGAAGATAAAAGGATATGTATATAAACTATGGGAGTGATGTAAGGGAATTGAGGCCATTTATTTCAATATAAATTCTTTCCAACAGATTTAGGTTAAGAAAAGACATAATGACCTATACACATAAGTTTGTTTTACAAACTATGCTTATTAATTAGATTGTAAGGCATTGGGACAATCCTTAGACTAAAAAAAAGGAAACAGGTTAAATTTTTTGAATAATCGAATGTCCAAACAGACAGTCAAGAAAATATTATCTTACAATGTGACCGCGTTCTTTGCAGCGGTAACAGGTCTTGACGGATTTATCCCCCTGAGAGTTGGTACAATCACGAGACTACAAAGAAATGCAAATAAGTAAATTTACTAACAGAATCTCAATGCGTAAAGATACTCACGTAATGACCAAAGCGGCCACAGTTGTAACACTTCACACCATTAGCCTTGCAGTCCCGAGCGAAGTGATTAGCTCCACCACATTTATAACAAATAACACGACTACTATATCCGCCACGACCACCGCCGCCTCGGCCATAACCATTTGCTGTGCAGTTACGCGCCAAATGACCCTGATAATGAAAGAATTTAATAAGAAACTTGTAATAAACAATAAAAAAAACAGTGTTCATATCCTAAATAAATATAGCTCACATAACGGCCACAATTATGGCAACGACCATTACCACCGCCATTTCTCACGGTGGGACATTCTGCTTGAAGGTGCCCAACTATTTATCAATTACCAAAAATCGATATATCTTAGTAATGGTTTTCAATTTTATAAAACTACGGTTATTTTCGCCCTATCAGATATATAATGGATAACATCAACAGATAAATCCATCACCTACCACTACCGCAAGAATAGCATTGTTTGGAGTCAGCGGTCCTAGGCTGAGGGCATTGGTTAGCCTCGTGTCCTGGTTGCTTGCAATTGTAGCATAATCTTTCAGGTTCAGGGCAGGAGTCGGCAAAATGGCCAACTGCGAATTCACAAAATTAATTAACATGAATCTTAGTGGATGAAGTAT